AAGTGCACAAAAGATCAAAAGCAAAGACATATTTCACTCTGTATTGATATGATAGATATATGAGCTGGCAGCACATTATAGTGCCGTCTGACAAAACCTTCACAAATCTCATATACTCAGTATTCATCTGAAGATGATCTGTAACTGTCTTCAGAAGTTCCTTATAGTGAAAGTCACATGGAAGTTTCTTCATTTCCTGTGGCTCTCAGAGAGCGGAGGCCTTTTAAAGACACAAGCGTTTCTCCTGCATTCTCCACGTTCTCTCGCGTCCCTGAGGATCTCTGCTCTTAACCCTCCATGATCCTGGAAACAGAAGACTTTTCCCCCCCTGAATATTACAAAAATGCAACTGTGGGACTTGGTGTTCAACTACCCATGCACACGTGCTACTGTAATACATTTATTCAAGGCTCAGACTGATTTTTGTCGCACTGAACAGCCCGATCCAAACCTGTTTCAGATTGTAGAAGGAGCTGCTTAATTTCACGTCACTCCACACAGTCGCACACAGAAATATGTCAACAACTAGACTTTATCGTTATTATCGCGGGAAGACGAATTCTTATCGTGTGGAGAATTTTTACCGGTATATCGCAAACGATAAGATATCGCCCATCCCTATGACGAAGCAGATATCGTCCTCTTTTGGAAGACCAAACAAAGTAGTTTCGCTTTCACAACGAAACACAGCGTCACACACTTCTGCGTTGAGTGAGCAGAAGCCGGGGGCTCGCGTGAGGAACGGCCGGAGGGCTAGAGTGAGCAGAGGCGGCGGATTCGACGAAGGAGCGTCCGGAGGGCTTGCGGCAACCACATGTTACGACCCCGGGCTGGACTCCACTTCGTCCACGGTGAAAGCTGATCCGGTGATCCACAGCGCAAAGTTGTTGTATTTCCTCAGCGACCAGCACGGATCAGCTCCAGGCATGACGAAGTGGATATCGTCCTCTTTTGGAAGACCAAACAAAGTAGTTTCGCTTTCACAACGAAGCACACAGCGTCTTCACGACATGGCGGCGGCAACAACAATACTACAGCGAGAATAAAAGTTACGCCTTCTTTCTTTGCGTGAACATTTGGGCGGCGTTATGCAAATCTTCCCACATCGTGACGTAGATATGTGGGGGCGTGTTAGAACGAGCTGTTTTAGGGGGGCGTGGCTGACTCTTAACTTTTATAAAGAATATCTCTTTGGATTTGAGACTTTAGTCTTTGCAACTTTACAGATCTTCTTTATGCACCAAGAGCTTGTAACACTTCAAAGAGAAAGGAAAAATTTAAATCGCATCATATGAGTTTTTATATAACATTTAATGTTATTCACAAAATTGTACAGAACTTTTTTTTTTTTTTAAATACACAACATCATGATTTTATAACCAGTGTCTTTCTAAAAATACATTTGTAATTTAATAATAAATGCTACAATTATGCTATTGTGTATTTTAAAATATTTATTTATATTTTGAATTATATTTTATTTTTGTGCTTTCTATTTTAATTTTAATTTTAGTTAAAGTTTTAGTTTTTGTCATTTTAGTTTTTTTAAATAAGCTTATATAGTTTTTATTTTGTTTTAGTTATTTTAGTACTTAACTAAACAAGTATAAGAAATGCTGCCTTAAGTTATTTTTAAAATATTTTATTTTCCAATTTTACTATATTGTTTATTTAATATGTTAGTATTTAATATTTTTATTTAATATTTAATTTAATGTTTATTTTTTATTTTATTATATATTTTTTGTATTTCAGTAAATATTTATTTTATTTCAAGCAATAAAAATGTTTTTAAGGTTTCAGTTTTAGTTAACAATAATAACCCTGCCTCAAAGTCGTTAACATGTTTTAGTTTTGCCTGTAATGTAATGTAAGTTTAGGGTTGTTTTGTCATTCCTTTGACATTCTGGGTCACAATGTAAGACTGTTTAGTCTTTGAACTCAATATAATAATAAAGTTGCAAGAATAAACCCGGCATGCATTTAAGGCTCAATAAAATCTGCATTTTTTTCTTTCTTTGACCACTCCAGCTTGTGTCTATTTATGTTCTGTATTTGATGCAGCTTGGAATCGCTGGGAAACTATTTTAGCAGATGAAAAGCTCAAGCAGCCACAACAGAAAACAGACAATTGCAGGATGCAGAGAAAACTCTTGTTCAAGTCAAGGTCCAGAGATCTACTGGTTGTAGGCTGAATGCGAGGTCAGCTATATTTTTGCCTGGCATGATACACAAGATCAAATTAAAAAGAACATGCAAGTATGATATTTAAAACACACTGATTCAAAATGAATGTTTTTAAAATTATAAAGCGCTGTCGCTGAATGATATACACGGTCATTCATTCCAAAACACAAAAGAGTAAAAATGTAAATAGTGAGGATCATATGTAAAACATCTGGACACACAATACAACTTCTTTGAGCAAAAGATGAATACATATTTAATTTCTTAATTAATTCTGGTGTGAAAGCCATACTTCTTTTAGGAAGAATTACGATCAAATGAAGTCACTGACCTTTTGAAGATGTTTGTGGCATTTTGCATCTTTTTGTTTCAGGTTTCAGTTCACATCTGTACTCATTGTTTATTCATTAACATCTAAGGAGGATGTCCTGTTTAGATGCACAGTACGACAAAGATATATGTAAGAGATCATTTACAATCAGATGCTCATTATTGCTTTAGGAATAACAGCGTTTACATGCTATCTGTGTGAATATACATGTGGGTGGTCAAAATTGCTAGTGTGTCTGATGAAGCCCAATAAAAACAATGCAGGTGAATGCATGGTACAATAGATCTTCTGTACATCAATTCTGTGCATGTTTTAACTTCTCCTTCCTCGTGATTATAGTCATCTGAGTTGTTTACTTGGTTCCACTTGTAGACAATCGTGTCACAAGTCAGCAAGAGGATTATGAAACTACTAGTTGGTCTCACGTGGCTATTTTGGTGCATGTTTCATTTAAAAACACTTTGTCATATGACTTAGATCCAATAACAGTAATTTAGATGCAAAATGCACATTCCAGACTGTGTGCCGAGCTGCATTGCAGTTTTTTGGATCTATTGAGTCCCCTTCAGCTGAGAATGAAGGACAAGTGGCTCTGTGCGGTGAAACTGCGATATAGACGTGATGGACGAACAGGATAGAGGGCGGGAACCGCACTGATTCTTGGAAATCAACACAGTTAGTGTTGTATGACTAACAATGGATTAGGAGTGAACAGTAAAACATGAGTTTGTTGAATTGACTGAATCATCCTGTCATGGCAAGCAGGGTTGCCAGATCTGCGTGACAATAACAAACCGATAACGAAACTCGTCACTCATCACACCTCGAAATCAAAAACAGAGACTTCAGATTATACATAGGCCTATTTAGAATTTCTTGCATTTATAGACGTTATATATAACATATCAGTATTAAGTATTAACATAAAATCGAACTTGATCATTATTGCCGGATGCAGCCTGCATGCGTGCTACTTAAACTCTATAAATTTCAACTGAAGCAGGACTTGCTTTAAGGGTTTCTTGAGTGATATAAAAGAAAAACACTGTATTTTATATATTTGATCACTTTTATCTGACGTTAAACATAGACTATGCAATTCTGTTTGTTATAAGTATTGTGTAAATTTATTAAAAACAAATAGAATGCTACTTAAAGCTTTGTGTGATGTGCAAAATTGTTATTTACTGAAAACAATTGTTATTTATTGAAAATCCATTCAACTGTCAATGACGTCTAAACCGTTTAAACGTTGCCATATTTCATTTCAAAGCATTGGTTCCTGTGAATAATGACTTTGATTTCTGTTTATTCATCATTAAAAGCTCTCATATGACTTCAGAAGAACTACAGTTCACTCTATATGGTGCTTTTTTGGTCATTTTAAATCTTATCAGCACCAGTCTCCATTCACTTTCATTATTTGGAAGAGAGTGACTTTTGTTTGTGTGTGTGTGTGTGTACAGGTTTATATATTCTGGTTGGGACTTAAACCTGACTACAGACAGATTCATGGGGACTCGTGTCACGGTGGAGACCTAAATTGTGGTCCCCACGGGTACAAAAGCTTATAAATCATACAGAATGAAGTTTTTTGAAAATCTGAAATAGCAGAAAGTCTCCTGTGAGGGGTAGGTTTAGGGGTAGGGTTGGTGTAGGGCAATAGAATATACGGTCTGTACAGTATAAAAACCATTACGCCTATGGAGAGTCCCCACAAGTATAGCTGACCAGACATGTGTATGTGTGTGTGTGTGTGTGTGTGTGTCCTCCATTGAAGAAAGAAGGTCATACAGGCCTGAAATGACATGAGTGTGAGGAAAAGGAGGATATATATTGATTACTGTGGTGTTTTTGTCATTGTAAAACTTGACAGCACCCATCCCCATTCACTTTCATTATATGGAAGAGAGTGACCTTTTGTTTGTGTGTGTGTGTGTGTGTTTGTGTGTGTCCTCCATTGAAGAAAGAAGGTCATACAGGCCTGAAACGACATGAGTGTGAGTAAAGGAATGAAATATTGAGTACTGTAGTGCTTTTTTATGTTCGACAACGCCAGTCCCCATTCACTTACATTATATGGAAGAGAATGACTAATATTTTTGTGTTTCAACAAGGAAAGAAAGTCATACAGGTCTGAAACGACACGAGTGTGAGTAACAGGAGGAAATATATTGACTACTATGGTTAAGTTTGACAGCACCAGTCCCCATTCGCTTATTGTATGAAAGAGACTGACCATTTTTAGTGCTCCACTGAAAAAAGAAAAAGGAGTAATACGGGTCTGAGTGTGAGTAAATGTTCACAGAATGTTCTTTCGTTTCTTTATTTGATTTTACACGAACTACCTCTTTAACGATTCCCAAAATCGGCGGAAAAACACGCGATCTGGCAACCCTGCCTCCTCTCCACTGGATGCCGCTGCAGTCCAAGGAAGAGACCCCTCCCAGTGCCTGCTGACACCCTGCCCAAAGGGTGTGTTCTTAGAGGGGTACGTATATTTGCTCTGCATCACGCACTGACTGCAGGCATGGAAAAAGGAGTCAGTGTGTGTGTGTAAAAAAACGTCGAACAAGTTCCTTGTGGAGCGCCGAGGAGCCGCGAACACAGCACCGACATCCGTAGTTCGAGCGACTTTTCTCGTCGTGCGCACCGGGACAGGACGCAGCAGGCTCGGGTGTTATCAGAAGAGATGCGGAAGACGTGATTGGAGGACTGGCTGTTTTGATGAGGAGTGTTTTGGAGTTGTCATTGAGTGTCCTTTGATGATGATGATGATGATGATGATGGAGGAAGAAAATGAACATCAGTTGTACCTTATAGTGTAATGCATTCAGGGAATCTTCTCACACCAAATATTTGAGTTGAGCTTATATACCTGCATATATTACACACACACACACACACACACACCTCTGTCTATATTTCCTGGTTTGCTGTCTTCACCTGGAGAGGGTGCGCTGCTCGGTTTATGTGCTTCACTCAAGCCAGGAAGTAGGAAACCCAAGATGCTTTTAGATTCAAGTCAGTCCGAAGTCAGAAAATGATCCAGGCATTAACTAGTAGATTAAAACGAAACATCCCTGCTCAGATAATACCGTGTCACTCGTGTATCCGGAGAGGCTCGAGTCCTCTCATCTTCTGAAACATGGAGCTCAAGATGTTCATCCTCGTCTTGGGGCTCCTGGTGGGCAGTTTGATGCCCCTCGGAGGGGCCGCCAGCTCTCCAGACACGGGCACCGGTCACGGCGGATCCCACGGCAACAAGAATCCCGGGAACGGAACAACTTACTCCAAGAAGCCCTTCCCGGTTCTGTCTTTCGATTATGAACACGTCCGGCTCCCCTTCGAGATCTCATTATGGGTTCTGCTGGCTTCACTGATGAAATTGGGTGAATATGATTATATTATTATATTCAGACACAGGGATCTGTCTTGAAGCTGACAGCTTGTCGGTGTGCGGTGAGCTCAGGGATCACAACATTTCAAAATCGCAGACATTCTTCAGATTTTGGTAGCCCAAAATGAATTTAAGTAGCCCGAATAAAAAAATTAAAAAGACCTCGCCTGAACTTACTGTGGACAAATCAGCATGATTCAAAACTTCAGTGATTGCTTTTTTTCTTCAAATAAGAAGTCAAGAGAGTAAGGGTGCATCTCTCTGTCTGTCTGTCTGTCTGTCTCTCTCTGTCTGTCTGTCTGTCTGTCTCTCTCTGTCTGTCTGTCTGTCTGTCTCTCTCTGTCTGTCTGTCTGTCTGTCTCTCTCTGTCTGTCTGTCTGTCTGTCTCTCTCTGTCTGTCTGTCTGTCTGTCTCTCTCTGTCTGTCTGTCTGTCTGTCTGTCTGTCTGTCAGTGTGTATACACACATATTATAATATCAAAAATAATATAACATAACATAAAAGTGTTATTTCCATATTTAGTGGCGTTTTCATATTTTGTGTGATCAACTATGATGTATATAAATATAAAACAATAAAATATTTTAATGAAATTTTATATATATATATTTGTATTCATATATAAATATATATTAAAATTAATATATATCACGTCACATATATCACATATATACGTGATGTATAATATACTGTTTTAAAACATAATATATGTTATGTATTTGTTATATAGAAATAAGTAATATCACAAATGTAAACTATAATATCACAAAAGTGTGTGTATGTGTGTGTATACAGTGGGTACGGAAAGTATTCAGACCCCCTTACATTTTTCACTCTTTGTTATATTGCAGCCATTTGTAGTGTACATGTGAATTAGACGTTTAATGTGATGAAGTCTTGAAGCTGACAGCTTGTCGGTGTGCGGTGAGCTCAGGGATCACAACATTTCAAAATCGCAGACATTCTTCAGATTTTGGTAGCCCAAAATGAATTTAAGTAGCCCGAATAAAAAAATTAAAAAGACCTCGCCTGAACTTACTGTGGACAAATCAGCATGATTCAAAACTTCAGTGATTGCTTTTTTTCTTCAAATAAGAAGTCAAGAGAGTAAGGGTGCAACGGATCACAAAACCCACGGCTCGGATCATATTGTGTTATCATATCAGATTTTGAGTAACAGATCGGAGCATTTTGCAGATGAGCAAAAAAAAATATGGTTCTTTATTATTTAAATAACAGAATACGTCTTTGATACCATAGCAAAAACTAGTAGCATGTAGGGATGTAACGATTCACTCAACTCACGATGCGATGCGATACAATTCATGATACATTTTTAACAAAATGAGATTTAAGACAAATTATAAATGAAAAGGTATCCTTTTATTATTTCTCCAACAAAATGCCTCACATTTTATTTGAAATTTTTCTGAAATTTTAAACAAACTTTGACTTTGGCCTTTAAAAAAGGCTTTGGCTGTGCTTTTTTTCATGTAAAATCAGAGGCTACCACTGCATTTTAATCATGATCCAAACTAAGATGCTAAATACATGTTATTTAGATTGCAATTAGATGTATAATTTCGAAATTTGAAGCAAAAACAGAATGGTCTGATTTCAGCTTTGTGAATGAGACGCAAATGTCACTCTCTGACAGCAGGTGGCGCTTATGAAACAGCAGGTATTTATAGGCTGCTGCCCCTTTAAGACCAAATGCAATCCAATATAATGATGCACTTGAGATTTCTTTCACCACTGTTTACATTCACTTAAGACATAACCGACTGTGTTTACAAGAATACTTGCCGAGAGAGTTATTTTGAGAATTGTGTGTGTATGTGTTCATTCAGATGCTAGGATATGCGAAAGAGGAATCAATTCGGTGTACGCGCATTTTCTGAAACGCGGCTCTCTGTGCGTGCTTTGAATGAGTGTGCAGCTCCGAATGTGCGTGAATGGTTTAAAACGCTTGAATGTTTAAATCGGCAAGACTTAGAAACACGTGCAAATTTTCAACTATGATCCGTTTTACCCCTACAAGCTAGTGAACAACACAAATCAAGGAAAGAATTTTATATCACTGTTCAAGATAGCCCATCGGGCAGGGCGGTAATACATTTTGGTAGCCCGAATGGAAAACACAAAAGCCCCGGGACGTCAGGATAGCGATTTTGCAAGCCCATCGGCCCAGAGAGACCCTCAATTACTCTCTTCCCAGGGGCATTTTCTTCTCTGCTCTCACGCTACTCCATTTACCAGAGTAAATATTCCTTTTCACACTGTGATAAAGACATCAGAACAGTGTTTGGTCTTGCTGTCAGCATGAAGTCTGGTCCAGTCTGCAGTTGATCCAGACAAGAACTGTCCATTTAGGCAGGAAGACTGACATGTGAAGTGACCAATGGAACGCCTGGCAGCTGTGCAGCATCAGCCAATCAGCTCTTGCCATCATGTGCATCATGTTTTCATGCCATTGTGCGCCATCTGAGACTAGGACAGTGGTAACCTGAGATTCTTACATGCTTGCCATCGACTGATACCTTACAGTGGACAGTGTCAATTAGACGCCTGACGTAGTGCTAATTAAAGTACATACTGACCTGAGAGTACAAACTGCACTGGGCCTGTGTAATTAAATGCTTAGCGTTGTTTTGATTAGTGTAATATGGCTTATTAAATCATGTTTACTTCCAGAGTGGGTTGTTGTTGGTGAGGCGGTTAGTGCATGACCTGACAATTGTTTTCAGTGCTTGTGATATTTTGGGGAAATACAGCAGGCGTGTGATGCAAGAGGAGAGGAGGATGTTAGCGAAGAGGGAAGATGAGGTCAGGTATGTGCAAATGCTGAGTTGCAGGCTTCTTCCTGTTTCAGTTTACTAGCTGTGAGTGCTACTTTCTATCTTTATACACGAGTCTCCCGCTGGAGTCTGAAGCCGTCTGAGTGTCATTTCCTTGACATCTCAGTTCTCATTCCGTTCCAAAATGAAAAAAATTCTGTAATTTTCTTCCTCCTTGTGTCATCCCAAAGCTGTATGCTGGGGTTTCTTTATTTATTTAGGAAAATCTGAAAAACAAACCCAGATCTGTTCTGTACAACAGTTCATAGAAAACACATCTGTCAATCATAAATTAGTCCAGAAGACCATGCACTGCAATGTTATATATTATATTATAAATCTTCTAAAGTCATACTATATATGTGACCCTGGACCTCAAAACCAGTCATAAGGGTCACTTTTTTGAAATTGAGATTTATATATCATCTGAAAATTGACTAAATAAGCTTTCCATTGATGTATGGTTTGTTATAATAGGACAATCTTTGGCCGAGATACAACTATTTGAAAATCTGGAATCTGAGGGTACAAAAAAATCAAAATACTGAGAAAATCATCTTTAAAGTTGTCCAAATGAAGTTCTTAGCAATGCATATTACTAATCAAAAATTAAGTTTTAATATATTTACAGTTTGATATTTGCAAAATATCTTCATGGAACATGATCTTTACTTTAAAAGAAAAATCAAAAATTTTGACCCATACAATGTATTTTTGGCTATTGCTACAAATATACCCCAGCGACTTAAAGGGGTAGTTCACCCAAAAATGAAAGTTCTGTCATCATTTACTCACCCTCATGTCGTTCCAAACCTGTATGAGTTGCTTTCTTATGTTGAACACAAAAGAAGATATTTTGAAGATTGCTGGTAATCAAACATTTTGTGGTTGCCATTGACTTCCATAGTATTTTTTTTTCCTACTATGGAAGTCAATGGCAACCACCAACTGTTTGATTGCCAGCAATCTTCTTGAACTACCCCTTTAAGACTGCTTTTGTGCTCCAAGTTCACATATTTGTTTGAGGAAGAGACATTTAAGTAATTATTCACTGTTAAGTTTTTTTACATGTCCTTGTGACATTTTCACTAGTTTTAGAGCAAATGTGACTTGATTTATTTCCAAGTATCAGGTTTAATTGTCCTAAACCCTTTGGCCCTTGAGAGTCTGTGACTGAATGCTGCTATTTTGCTTTGGCTTTGTCCTCTGCATACGTCGGGTCTCGCAGTCAGCCTGTGTTCAGTCTGGCTCCTCTGCTTGTCGACAGTATCTACAGTTTACATCTCAATCCATCTGTCCAAATGAATTGGCGCCTCTGCAAGGGTTAAGCATTAATGTTTCAGAGTCTGTTCATTATTAATAAATGCTCATCATGGAGAGTGAGTGCCAAGTCTCACAGCCTGAAGATGGCAAGAAGTAGTTCATACAGTAGGGCTCATTAATCGGCATGGTGGAAGTTGAATGCCAACCGAGGGACGTGGGGTTTAGATTAATGCATTCGAACGGTTTAAATGAACTCCTGTCAGGCGGGTTCAGATTGCATTAATTGCTCTGGTGTTGTTTGTGTGGTCATCTGGCAGAGCAGTAATTCAGGTTGCCTCTCCTCAAGAGACAATGTGAAATTCTTCATCTATAATAACTAAGCAGCCAGTTATGCAGTTTAGAGACATTACACAGAAATATTTGACCGCAAAATGCATTGGTTAACCAAACGCTATCTGGTTGATGAATACGTTTATTGAAAGCTTCAAATGAGTATATCCTCTTTCATTTAAGCCAGGGTTTTCCAAACTGAGGTTTTTGAGGGAAATTTAGGGGGATTATGAGTTGATGAAAAGCTAATATTTCATTCAATCCTAAAAATAAAATATTAATAAATTAAATTGTTATTAAATTATCAAAATGAATAAAATTAAGTTAAATTTAAATATTTCGTTAAATTAAATTAATAAATAATATATAAAAAAATGGGAGTCCCTGCCTTAGTTTAACACAGCACTGTTGTATCTGAAGTATTTCAATATTGACTAAGCCACCAGCTCTCAGAGAGTGGATTTACAGAGAGTTACATTTACATTCAGTCTGTGTGCAGTTTTTGTCTGAATTTGCATGTCCTGTAAATTTTGACCGACTGATGAAAAACAAGCTTAGGTGG